AATAAATCCATTTTATATGGAATGAAATTATTGTAAGTCAAAACAAAGAAATCTGCATGCATCTATGATAACAAGATTGAAATACCTGCATTTTTTTTATGATGATAGACCAAAAATAAAATGGTTATACAAGTTAAGAAATGAGCCAACAATAGAAAATGATATATATAAAATTGTAAACGTGAAAAATAAAAATCAGGCTTGATTATTAATATAGATTTACTGAAAGTCGCGGTACCGCCTGTTGACACCGAATCTGACATGAGAAATGCATGGGGTCATCTCAAATGTGAATGTTACAACAAATTTGATTTATAAAGTTGGTGTTTTTGTGCAAATAAAACCAAAGTCTCCATTGATAGAGCACACTATCACTCCACCGACAATAAGGAGCAAAAATTGGGATCAAAAACCCAGAGTTTCCGTAATAGCATATTTAAGCCGATATGTTGCCAGGCTCATGCACATGTATATGAAGCCATATAAGTTATTTTGAATGTTGTTTTCTACAACTACAATAGAATAGAGTACTTACTAACAAAATCCTGTTTTCAAAGAGATTTGTATGTTCCACCGCTACGAAAATAGACTGAAGGTTAGTTAATCTGGGGTTGTGGGAGAAACGGGAACATATAAACAATGCTGACGAAAATTACTTGAAAGTTTGTGCCGACAATATGAAGCTGTGGCGGCCGTTATGACGATCTTCATGGGCCATCGGACACATTTTGGAAACATTGCTACCCTGGGAAATTTCTATCAAATCTTGGTTCGAATAGGCCAAAAAGTGTTTGACGAAAATTAGTCAAACAATCACAGGCAATGGTGGTCAAGTTTCAAATTTGTCGGAATAATCAATTGTTTTGGTGGAAGATAAACAAAGGAACATTTCTACCATCTAATTTCAAACTTATATTTAGTAGCCTTTGACGAAAAATAAACTGCTCAAAAGTTTTATTGGCGATTTTGAAAATCGGTTAGGGCTGTCAGACATAATTTTTGTATTGCACCATCTATAAAGAGCATTCCTATATACATGTACCAATAAAATTGAGAATGGAAATGGAGAATGTGTCAAAGAGACAACAACCCCACCGAAGTGCAGACAACAGCCGAAGGCCGTCAATGGGTCTTCAACACAGCGAGAAAATCCCGCACCCGGAGGCGGGCTTCAGCTGACCACTAAACAAAAATGTGTACTAGTTTAGTGAAAATGGACGTCATACTAAACTCCAAAACATATAAATGAACTAAAATTAAAAAAAAAACATACAAGACTTACAAAGGCCAGAGGCTCCTGACTTAGGACAAGCGCAAAAATGCGGCGGGGTTAAACATGTTTTGTAAGATCTCAACCCTCCCCCTATACCTCTAGCCAATGTAGAATATACAAACACACAGCAATACGCACAGTAAAACTCAGTTTAAAAGAGGTCCGAGTCCGATGTCAGAATAGGTAACAAAAGAAACTAAGCAAAATGACAATGATACATAACTTAACAATGGACTACCAGCAGTTACTGACATGCCAGCTCCAGACCTCATTAAAATAATTGAAAGATTATGTCTTCATCATATGAAATCAAGCACAATCCCTCCTGTTAGAGGTTTAGTATTATACCATCATAAAATATATGAGAAGAACATAACCCATATCATGCCAAAAACTGGTTTTAGAATAAATGTGTTTATTTCCGATGCAAAGACCCTATGAGTGAATCAATATTAATACCAAAATATGCCATCTTTAAAGACCTGACAACAGTATCGTAACTGTATTCCTTCTGAATAAGTCTGTTTAGAGGTTTGGTTAGCTTTTGAGGTGAATGCGGACATTTTTGTTCTTTGTATAGAATATAACCATAAACTATTGAATGTGAAATACCTGAACGTATCAGATGTCTGCATGTTGATTTATATTTACGAATGATGTCCTTGTACCGATGATAAAATTTAGTTGATGTTTTAAACCCTGGTGTAATAATTTTTCAGAAATACAGAGATTTCTTTCGTTAAAATCAAATACGTTGTTAGATACACGAGCGAATCGAACAAGTTGAGATATATAAACACCATAAGATGGTGACAAGGGAACGTCACCATCTTAAAATGATTAATTAACAATAGGAAATGCAAATCATCTCTTTTATCATAAACTTTAGTATTAAGCTTTCCCTTTACGATATAGATATCAAGATCCAGGAAAGAGCAGTGCTCATTGTTAGTATTAGCTTTATTTAAAGTCAGTTCAGCAGGATAAATCTCTTTAGTGTACATACCAAAGTCGTCATTATTGAGAGCCAATATATCATCCAAATATCTAAAAGTGTTATTAAATTTTGTGTATCAGATGTTGTTTCGATTGGTCTTTGCTGATTTTAGTCATAAATTGTAACTCATAACAATACAGAAACAGGTCCACAATAAGTGGTGCACAGTAAGTCCCCATTGGAATTCCGATAACTTGACGATATACGGAATCTCCAAAGCGAAGAAAAATGCTATCTAGTTAAAAATGCAAGGGCAGTTGTAGTAGCAAAGCATGTCCAATTGACATAGTTCTTTTATTTGTTGTTACTAAAATGACCTTAAAGAGTTTGAACATATATATTTGCATTCTGATTTTTTAATTGCGCATTTAAGCATGTGTGTGACTTGTTTCTTAATAAGATTATGAGGCAAAGTGGTATATAGGGTAGAAAAATACAAACTGTAAACAGATTCGAAATCACCAATATAAGCATGCAATTTATCAAGTACTTCCAACGAATTTTTGACATTCCAAAAGTAATTAATTCCAACTATTTGCAAAGGCCTTATTTGAACAATTTATTACCAGGTTTTTTATTGTACCAAGTGTACTAGTAAGTGGAATAGACAGTTTAATAGTGGAACAATGTCTTGACGACGAAATAAATCTATATGTGTAAGGTGTTGTGTGCAGCTTCGGAAGTTTGGTTCAAATATTTTATAAGCCGGAAAAGATAACGGACAACGACGGATGCCACGTGATTGTGGCAAAAGTTCACATACATTTTTTGCTCAAGTGAGCTAATGAGCAGGGGATCAGATTTATGAAATTTTATATATTAATCATAACAGAAAATAGATGAAATTAAGGAAAATAAATTTTCCTGGTTTCTTCTCACCAAATTAATCAGATTTGGATGAACTAACTCCGATAACTTTCATTATCTTTTTTTTTCACCGTGAAGCTTATGTATGCCATGTGGTTTTCCCATATAATATCCATCAGCGGTCGCTTTTTCGCCCTTTGCTTTTGTTTCATTTTCAAGCTTCTTTTTCATTGGATGGTTTAAGGACATCTTTAATGAACGGTGCTGCTTCAGCTCGGGCTTCATCTGACTTGTTCGATTCCGCTTGAGTCTCCTCAGCTGGATCTGACCGGTCGTTCACAACCGGTACATTTTGATGTGGAAGGTGTTTAAGGAAATTTTCAGGTGTACTGATAGGAAATAAGATTTTATCCAAATTGGAATCCCGTAATCACCCCATTTGCGCGTCAGCAAGTTAAAGAAAACCTTATTACCAGAAAAGAAAGTGTCAAAAATTCAGTGTATCATTTAGGAATATTTAATTCTTATGGAACATGGAATTGATAATCTGAAATTTGTTTAGGTGATGGAAACTTTATAAAGGCACCCAAGACACAAACTCAGACATATATTTGGAAACCTGTGCAGAAGTTGTGAACTAACGACAATCTATATTTAATTCAATAAATCGTTAGGGTAGAATATTGTTTAACAGCTGTTTGCAACTATTATCTATAAGAGCTAATTCTTTAGTGTCTTTTTTGTTTATTTTGTGACCATCCTCTTCCTTTTACCTATCATAGTTGTTGTAAACAGTCGATACTGAGACTCGCCGTAATCTCTAATACCACGTTTAAATCGTTTGTTTCATTTACCAGTGTTGAGTCGATACCACTGGCGGTAGATTGTTATGTCACGAGTCCACCAACAACGTAGTGGTCAGTCCTTCAGTACTGACCGGATGTAACAAACATTTCTAAACTCACCCTTTGATAAGAAGTTTCGAAATTATTAAGAAACTAGGAAAAAGTAAACTGAGATGATTTTTTCTATACTTTTTTTGTAAAAAAATGGGACGACTCTCCATTGGTCAAATATCTTTCAAATGTGTTAAGCTTGTGAATTCCTAAGGAAGGTTAATAAATAAGCGATTGGCGTATGCAATTGGTGTGTTATTTTCCTTTACATGATACGTAGTCTTGTAAATATCAAATTTATCCATCTGCAGTACAAGGACTGCAAAAATAAAGAGATTTATTCGGTATGATTCCCAATGGGACGACTATCCACTGGTCAAATATCTTTCAAATGTGTTAAGTTTGTGGATTACTGAGGAAGGTTAATAAATAAGAGGTTGGAGTATGCAATTGGTGTGTTATTTTCCTTTACAAGATACGTAGTCTTGTAAATATCAAGTTTATCCATCTGCAGTGCAAGGACTGCTGAAGGGATCATTTTGTGTTTGCATCTTTAAAGATATTTACGATCATCAGCAAGAATACTGGCGCTAAACGAGCCTAGTAGAAAACGTTCAGGACCAGACATTACAACAGATAGTCACTTATACGAAGGAAGCTACGGACTTTTATTTTAGGAGACTTGTTCCTTTAATTTATTTGTATGATACAGACATTATTCAGGGGTTTCTCAGAAGATTTATAAGATTATAGTTTTATCTTTTGATTTTACCTTTGCTATATCATATATATGCATAATTTATTTGTACTAAACTAAATATTTTCGACTATTTGGTTGATTTTGTGACGTTCTAACTTGCTACTTATCACTGGAAATTACTTGGCATGAGCAACACAACAGATACGAGTAGCGGGGCAGGAACAAATAATACTTCCAGAGCACCTTAGGTTATTTTGATTTGTCTTTCCTTTACGGTTATTTATTAATTTTTGTAATTTTGTATACAACTCTAATTTATTATTACAGATCATTTAGGGGAAACAATGGAAAACGATCAAAAGGAAATCAATGAAGACTGTGAAAAATGCGAGAACACAGGTAATGAATAATTGACAAATGTAGAGAAGCAATCGATAAAATGTATGTATTGCATGGGTTTGAAATAGTTATTCTTTCTACAGAAAAAGGTATTACAGCTAACGGAATATTTACCAAGTAAATACGTCTACAGTTCCAATATGCATCATGCTCATTCGTGGAACTCTTATAGCTTGTATAGAGAATGTATGTTAAGTGCTATATGTTAACTGTGCATGTTTGTCTTACGCTTTGCTTTTCATCAAAATATAGTTAAAATAACATTTGATTTTCAAACTCAATAATCACAGTATTTTTCCTGATAAATATTGCAAATTCATCATAATTAAATTGCACAAAGTTTCCAGTTAGAACACGTTATGATGAATAACTATTTAATTTCTATATTTGTAAGGTTACATAATCCGAAGCATCAGCAAACTCAAGCTGCAATTTAGGTATATAATTTTCCGAAACAGTTTTTCTTTAAAACAAAATAGAAAGTAGAATACAACATGCTATCAAATTTTCCGTTAAATAAATACTAGATGTTTCGTAATTTTCTTTCGATTTTACCCTTGCACATGTACTAGGACCAACAGTTGAGACTGTACAAAGGGCCAGAACAAAACCACATTGAATATATAACCGACAACACTATGGCCAATAGGAAACAATAACAAGTAAAAAAAAAAAAAAAACACTGAACACTAAAGATCCCCGAAATACCTTTTAGGATGAATGAGTTAAATTGCTAGATATTTTTGTTATTTAAAAACAACCTATGTTTACAAAATTTAAATTAAAGTATTGTAAGAAAATAAGGAAGTATTGATAACCTTTCCATTTTAAGCTTATCTGTCCTATAGGGCAAAGTGAGTTTTTCTCATCACCTAGCGTCCGTCGTCCGTCGTTGTCTCCCGTCCGCGTCTGTTGGCGTCCGTTAACTTAAATCTTCTCCTCTGAAACTTCTGAGCCAGTTGAAACCAAACGGGGCCACAATCATAATTAGGGTATCTTGCTTTAAAAATGTGTCCAATGACATCGCCTCCGTACCAACATGGCCGACATGGCTTAGAATAGAACATAGGGGTAAAATACAATGTTTGGCTATTATCTCGAAAAACCTTTAAGGATTGAGAAAATCTAACAGGGGCAAAAGTGCTTAGAATGATGAGATCTGCCTAATATCTATGACATCACCACAGTTAGAAGACTTTTATTGGAGTTATTGCCTTTAAATGACAGATTTTATCTTTTTTTTTCCATTTTTGACCATTATTTCAAAAATAAAAAGACAGAAAGAAACTTTTAATAACAGAAGGGATCAACAATACAAGATCTAAATAAAAGTCAACAAGATCGAAATTGTTATTTGACATCTTATTGAAGTTATTGCCCTTAAATGACGATTTTTAAAATTTTTTTGTGTTTTTGCCTATTATTCTTTAAACAATAATAGATAGATAGAAACTTTGAAAGCAAAAATTATCAAAAAGACAAGATCTACAAATACCCATTATAGTCGAAATCTTCAGCTGACTCTTTATTGAAGTTATTACCCTTTATTGATAATTTTTACCATTTTTGGCGTTATTTGTCTATTATCCTGAAAACTATTATAGATAAATAGAAAATTTAAAAAAATATAAATTATTAGCAGGATAAGATCGACAAATACGTTAGCATGGATAAAATTGTCAGTTCACTCTTAATATTGTTTAATATCCACTTTAATTATGATTTTTACAAAAAAAGTGGCAATTGTTGAAGATGCAGATGAGCTACACAGGCTTTTTAGAGCATCTAGTTCAAATTTGTCATCAGTTGGGAAACCACTATTCAAATTATCTATGTTCACAATTATCAAAATAGAAATGTGTTGAATAAACAGAAATGGAAGGAATTACATAACTCGTATACCACGAAGGTTTGATATTTACTCATTGATATTCAATCATGTTGCTGTAAAAGAGGGACGAAAGATACCAGAGGGACAGTCAAACTCATAGATCGAAAACAAACTGACAACGTCATGGCCAAAAATAAAAAGACAAACAGACAAATAATAGTACAGATGACACAACATAGAAAACTAAAGACTAAGCAAAACGAACCCCACCAAAATCTGGGGGTGATCTCAGGTGCTCCGGAAGGGTAAGCAGATCCTGCTCCACATGTGGCACCCGTCGTGTTGCTTATGTTATTACAAATCCGGTAAATAGTCTAATTCGGTAAGTCACATTCGTGAAAAGGGAAGGGTATTGTAGTAACGACACAAGGAACATATCCGATATCATCTGTGAAACGGTTATTCCATAACGGTCAACCAACTCGTGATGGTGTCCGTAAAATTTTCGAAGGGATGACTTCAACTTCACCATTTGGAACCCTTGGTTTAATAGCTTCCTTGTGAGCAGCAATCCTCTATCAAGGAAATCATGATAGGAAACACAAGCCCGGGAATATCGTATCAATTGGGAGATATATACTCCGTATGCATGCGCTGCTGGAATGTTGCTACATAGAAATGGAAAGTTCACAATTGGGAAGCTGAAATCATCTCTTTTGTCGTAAAGTTTTGTTTTCAACCGACCCTCATTGTCAATTTCTAGATGTAAGTCAAGATATGAGGTAGACCTAACTGTATCTGTAGTATCCTTTATCTCTAGTTCGATGGGATAGATTCGTTCAACATAGTCACCAAATTTTGTATTATTTAGTGAGAGAACATCATCTATATAGCGGAACGTAGAGTTAAAGGATATTGCTAACTTCTTATCTCTCTTCCTAAGAAGCTCCTGTATGAAGTCAGCCTCATAATAATAAAGAAACAAGTCGGCAAGAAGAGGGGCACAATTGGTTCCCATTGGAATTCCGACAGTCTGTTGAAAAACACGTCCTCCAAACGTAACAAATATGTTGTCAATCAAGAAATCAAGCATCTTGATAATGTCAGTTTCAGAGAATTTTTTGTTTGAATCAGAGTGATTCTTTACAAAGTAGGATTTATCCCTCCCCAAGACAAGATACTTGTATCTACGTTCGCCATTCTTTTTAATGAAACAAAGTAATACCAACTCTTTCAATTTGTCTTTTAGTTTGGAATGGGGAATACTTGTGTAAAGTGTAGAAAAGTCAAATGTTTTAATACTATTGCAAGATGAGAGAGTCTTAGATTGTATGTACTCTAAAAGATCTTTGGAATTTTTTAATATCCACATCTGATTCACGCCACCTCTAGAATAGGCAGTTTCACAATAACTTTGGAGCCCGGCTTTGATTGCTGATAAAATAGATGTTAATAATTTAGAAAGAGGTTTCGTGGAGCACTTGGAAGACCCAGCAATATACCGTTGTTTGTAAGGACACTTATGTAGTTTAGGTATCCAATACAGTGATGGAAGATCCAGTTCTTCGTCTTTGGTTGAAATTCCAAAGGAACATAGAACAGACCTATGATTATCTAGGATTTCCTCTTTGGTAAGTGTCGTGAGGGTACTAGTATATGTTGAGTTTCCAAGTGAATTGTCAATACCTAATTCATTTATCAAGCAGTTTATGTAATGATATTTACACACAAAAACGATGTTGTTTGGGGCTTTATCTGCGGGGACAACAACATATTTGTCATGGAGGTAGGACAAGTGTTTTGCAACATTTGGGTTTTTAAAAATTGATGTAGTGTGGGTATTGATATGCCCATTTAGTTTCTTAATTCGGATTTGTATCAACGACCTCACAGCCTTAATCCATTCGGAAAGAGTATCTACGTCTTCTTTCTCGCGTTTAGCCCATTGCCTGGCATAATCATCGACTGAATCCATCAGTATTTTGAAGTTGTATTTCCAATTGATGGATTTAGGCTCACGATATTTCGGACCTTTGGATAACAAATTTCGCAGGGAAGTGTTATTGACAATGTTGAGGTCTCCGGTAATAACGTGGCCAGTCGGATTATATGTGAATTGGGAACTAGCACAGGTGCAATCAGGAGGTTTAGACTTGAAGTCGTCAATGTTGAGATCCTGCAAAACGTGTTTGTAATTGAAAATTTTAGTTGCAATTGGTTTGGTATAGGTATAAGAAATTATTGGTACAGACTGATCTTTAAAATAAGGAGGTATTTTCGACTGAACTAATTTATGATGAAGGATATTGCCTAAGTTGGCGCCATCGAGACCTTTGTTGGCAAAGGAAAGTTTAAGAAAAGATCTTTTCTCTTTTTCATCTTTTCCAATGCGAACTGGTTTGAAAAGTCTGTGACTTGCAATATCCGAAATAATAGCTGTAAGTTTGTATTGGTTTGAATGAGGGTTTGTAACAGTGGTTTCCAAACATAAACCTTAATGTGTTTATCTTTTAAAAAAGGAAAGAAAATATTTAACATTTAAAGTCTTGAACCATGTCGATCAATTATAAGGTTAACAATGCTTTGTTATGAATGTCTGAAACCATACTTTTATTTTAAAATTTTTAGTTTTGACAGTGAGTGTGCTAACATGATCACACATGTCTTCACTTATAACTATTTTTTTTACAAAACATGAGGAGAAGAATTTGACTTCCGTGGTGATTAGCATTTATTACGATCAGAATGATATAAAAATGACTGCAGGTGTCAGATTGACAAATTTCTTTTGATATAGAATTGTTCTATGTTTTAAAATTATGTCCATACAATGAGTTATTGAAAGTAAAATTAAGGAATGGTAAGAAAAAAAGTTAAACAACAATCAGAGACACAGAAGAAGCGGTTACACCATGTACACAGTTTTCGGACGTTAATTGTGCATTCAAGTATAAACGCAGTACTACTGACATAATATTATTATATGTAACTAGATTAACTCTTTAATTAAAAATATTTTTAATCTAAACTTTTGTTTAACCATTTTTGGCAATCAATCAACAATCGCAGGTTATAGATAATTATAACTTATAAATAATTAATGTGTTGTGAATTGTAACCTGAATTATAAAATGTTTTACAAAAAAGCAATTATTGTAAGTTTCCTATG